GGTCCCTTCCGACCCTTAATCTATGAATCTATGAATAAAATTACCCAAATAACTGTAATTTGGCCCTCAACCTGCTAAAGCATGTGGTTGAATTAGATGACCTAGGGAGGTCCCTTTCAGCCCTACTTTTTAATGATTCAATATATATTATGATATCGTCTTTAATTTTACATGATCACATATTATTTTTTCCACAGGCCCCATCCCACATTCAGTGTACTGGATGGGCAATGCTCACTTAAAAATCAGCTATTAATCAATTGTCTTCCTGTTGTTCAATGCTTGACTCCTGTATCTTATTTGTTGCACAGTGTTTAGACCCAACTCTGGGGACAGAATTATTAATTTTCTCATGGTCTGGTTACTGGCACTCATTCTACTGAGTACTTCAGAAATATTAATATATATTCTTCCATAATACCTTGTGAGATGAGAGAATATTTTCATCATTTTAGAGATAGAGTTTTGAGACTTAAAGGTTAGTTGCATGTTTCCACTATTTCTAGGTAGTGCTTTGAAACACCAAACACTTATTTTTTTAGAATACTTGGCACTGTACAGTACTTCTTGTATGCCAAACACAACTCCTACTGACTTCAGTTCAGATGCAAGATATAAATCAGACCTCCCGATCTCCAGTAGCCATAAAATGAAGAATATACAATTTGCAATCACTTGCTAAAAGTTGGTTTAACTAACTTACATAGCAAACATTGGAACAGGGACCAGGAAGATATGGAATCCAATTCTCTAGGCAGCACTCAACTGCCTTAACCATGAAACAATTCTCTCTCCTCTTGCAAACCCCAGCCTCATTCATAATGCACCATCTAACTTATGCAATAAATGAGGCAGGGTTTCTGCAGACAACAGCCTCTTTCACTACTGCAGTCATATTATCCTGCCACAAGGGCCATTTTGTACAAGGATCCAATGGTCTTGCAGGTTCTGAAGAAATTCCCTTCAACATAGGGTGCTTACAGATATCTGCCTGTTGGGTCAGAGCCTGGTTGCACCGGCCTTGGCCAGCAGGCAGGGGTACTCCAACAGCCTCTTTGGAGGCTGTTAAAATGCCACTCTCCTCAGCCCTGCTCTGCTCCTCCCCAGCTTTGGGGTTGTCACTGTGGGAGGAAGCAGACAACACAGACCTGTTGGTTGCGTTTGAATAGCCAGAGCTAGGGAGGGGGGTGTGGAATGGAGCCCCCTTGCCTTGAGGGTGCAGCCTGGCTCCCCACAATATCCCAGCCAAGGTAGCGGGGGGGGCCCTGCAAGGCAAGGGGGCTACATTCCATACCCCCCCCCCACACCTCTGGCCATTCAAAAGCAGTCGGCTGCTCCCTCCCCTTCCTCCTCCTTCCCCCACTGACAGTCCCAGGGAGAGGGCTGAGCTGATGCTGCTGGCATGAGCACCAGCCCAGCCCTGTCCCTGCACAAAAAATTAACCCTGGAGGAAGTATAAGTTCCTTAAAGCACTCTGCTTTAGAGTGCCCTAATCTAATACATTTTACCAGGGTTAACTTGTCATGCAATGAGCCATTTTAAAAGCACTCTGCAGCCACAGCTGTAGAGCATTTTGAGGGGCCCAATCATGTGAAAAATGTCACTTGTGTAAGCACCCATAGACAAATGTTGCCCAAAAGAGGAAGTTTGAGGTTTGGCTTAGTCTGTTGATTGGGCATAGTATTTTAATCAAGTGACTTTTCAAAAATAAGTTGCAGTGTTGGTCTTGCAAAGCAAGTTAACATTGCTGCTGTATGAAGAGACAAGACGCTGCAAATCAAAGCCCAGCCTTACTGAATTTTGTCACTAACTTTCACAGGGCCAGAATTTAATCCTAGATCTTTGTAATTCTTCAGGATATGAATGTAATTCTTATGGACAAAGATAAATGTTGTATTTAATCTACAAGTTCAGTAAAACCACCTTTTAAAAAAGTGATTTTGTCAAGCTTCCCATCATGTTCATTTTGTTGACAATGCCACCCTTACTTTATTTTGCATATACTAATTGCTACTTTCCCTAATACAATGTCACAGAGGTAATGCTAAACAAATTTTGCATGTATTTTAACATTATTACTTTAAAATAGGATCTTAAGATCTCTCTTACTAAGAGGGGGGTGAAGAGGATGTCCAGTTTTTGCACACCAGCCAGCAGGATGGATATCAGGGCTATCTGCATCAGTCCAGTAATCATAAATACTGTCCCAGCCATCAAAGTGCACCTAAAAGTAAAATAAAGATTTTTTTTAAATAAAAAAATACATTTTAGACCAGAAAGAGTCTTTGTCATTATCTCCGCATGAAACTGTCAGAATGATGGATGTTAATGCTAACTCCATTAGAGAAATCCTTTAAGAGAACTGCAGATGTTACACAGGAAAGAACTAAAAACTAGATTTTGCATTGAAGGGAAAGCAGTTTAACTGGTTACTTTAATGCAAACCAAACAGGTCCCTTTTTGCATATCATTGTCAGGTTCAAAATACATGAGTTCAGGATAGTTATTAATATTATTATGTTGGTACAGTAACACTTTAGACTAGTAAGGGCCAATTTTCCAGAGGGACTGGACATAAAGGCATTATATCAGTCTTCTGATACAAGGCGTCACTCTCGCCTATCCACCTTTAAAAAAGAAAAAGGAGGTACAGCTCTTCAAGGTAGACAATTAATCTAAGCGAGAATATATTATGTAAATCCATACAAAATAATCACTGTCAAGCAGAGTAGCCATTGATTTCTTCTATTCACGTATGACTGAAAGAACTAACTTATTAAAATTATTCTGGTAATGAAAACCCCTCCTCTTTTTTATGTTCTTACATATAAAACAGTACATGAAATGCTCTGTCACTATACAATATGAAGGTAATTAAACTATTTACCCAACAAACCACATATCCTGGGTTGGTGTGTTTTCTTGACAATATCAAACTAATGCATAATTTATACAGAAAATGTGTAGGTGTGGAGATGAGTCTTTTGATACTTCTGATGACTCCCCAGTTTTTGCTAATTTTGATTCAAAATGAAATGTCAATTGTATTTGTCACTTCCAACATCACTTATGTGACATACGCTTAATAACCCTCTGTAAACTGCAGAACAGAATATCTCTTATTTCATTTCCGTTTAGCTAACTATCTAGAAAATGCCAGTACCTAACAGTTAAAAGTTTTGGTTTTTAAGGCATCTATATAACATAAGAAAACAAAAAACAAAAAGAAACACAAGCATACAACTGCCAGAAAAAAAGCAATGTCCCTCATCAAATCTGTGATATGAAATTAATCCAATGTCAAGTCCAGAATTTAAAACAAAATTCCTGAAATGGAAAGGAACACAGAATCATTTTTTTTTTAGATTTCCTCTGTCTCCCTTGGGCTCCTGCAGTGTGGAAGTTATAAACACATTTTATTAAACTAGTTCAAATATGGTACAAAAATACAAATGTCACTGATTTTTTTTGATACCAGTATTAAATCAACATTCTTCTATGAATAGACAATTGCTTTAGATCTGTTATTGCTAATGCTATTTCGCAGAACATTCAATCCTTTGCTCCAAAGCAATCTACGTCATCATATATCACTGATCAAAAGGGTAATTCAGGGACCCCTTCCAAATCAGTTATATCAAATTAATCACAGAGGAGGAAATGGAAATGGTTTTAGTATCACAGGTCCAAATGACTCTCATCCCTCCTGTGTAAGCTAAAAAATTGCCATAAAAGCCTGAACTTGGAAGTATAGTATTTTGTTTTACAAAATTACTGTTATCATGAACGAAGGAGAATCCTCAGTTTAAAGAGAGAGACTTACTTTTATCCTATGGTCATCAGTATCTACAATTGTTGCTACTCTGATAAATGCTGAATTTCTCTTGTCAACTACCTCAAGTTTCATATTTTTCTGAAATCCATGAGATGGTTTCTGTGATGGGAGAAGAAGAGTATTTCAGTGAAATGTAAAAAACCCCCAGTTATATAAAATACATATTAAGAGAAATCCCCCTGCAGAAACAAATCAAAACATTAAAATTGTGTACTAGAATTACGGTACTAGGCTAGAAAAATACTTTACTTTTTGAGACTTTTAATCTTAGTCCATGTCATTTAATCAGTAATAATAAAGAAAAGATATAATTCTTTTACAAAAAATGTAGCCATTTTCCCTTATACCTTGTATAAACATGTTAACAACATTTCAGTCTCTAATCGTTTCTTGGGCAGCAAGTTGACCAATTGTCCCTTCTTACACTTGCAAGTGTATCTTAGATCACAAAGCTATTAGCAAACTTACATAAGACAACGCCCGTTTCAGAGTAAATGTGACAACAATAACTGACAACGCAAGTATAAGTGTCTTATCATTATAAAAGTGCTGCATGATTTAAAACAGAAAGGACCTCAACATTTTGTTTCAGAAGACTATTTCTGCATCAAGAGGGATATGATCCTATCAACTCCCATGTACAGCAACCAATTTGAGTTATAGATTACTTAAAATAGAAATGATTTAAGTACCATAAGCATTTATTTTTCTACCTTTTAAAATTTTTTTAAAAAGTCTCTTTTTGACAGCCTATCTCCAAACTACCACTATTTTTTCATAGCCACTATATCAGAACACTACCCTCCAGCAGAAAAACATGTTGTACTCAATTATTTCAGCAACAGATCATACCACAGCGTATGATCAGACTTTACCCAGAAGTTCAATGAGACACTTCAGACTGTTTTTTTCAATAAAATCTGTTTTCCTAGATTTAATCTAGTAATGAATATGCACTGGTATTAAACAATTAACGTCTAGTTGCAAAAATGTAGCCTCAAAATAACAAGACTTTTATGAACATTATACTTAGCATCTTCATAGAATGCAATGTATTTTAAGTCAAATGTGCTATTTTGTGTATTCCAACATAAGATTATAGTATACCTAGACCAGAACTGAAAACAACATTATGACTTGTGATCAGAACAGGAAACAATTCTCCTATTCTCAGACTTCAGAAGACATTTTTTACTTCAGAATAGATTATCCAGTGGACCCCAATCCTCACAGACTAATAATCCCATTAGGGCCTTGTTACCTATTGCACTTTGAGGTAATCAAATGTTGACTGGTATTAGTGCTAGCTCAGTTTGGAGCAGTCACACCTTAAGGCTAAAAACCTTCTCTGACTGCCCCCTACCTGCACAGCTGTGAGTTGCCACTTACAGGCTTGATAAACCAGAACTGGCTTCTATCCCTGCTGTAGGTAGAGGTGTGTGAGAGATGAGTTGGGGTAGGGAGCCAGTGCTGGGTAGGCAGCATGAAGCTGGGTGACAGAGAGTTAATGGGATGAGGAAGGAATGGAAGAATGAAATGGGAGACGGAAAAGAAATAGGGGTGGGGGGAAGAGTGGTGAAATAAAGAAAATCAGCCACTGAAGGATAAAATAACAAGTAAAAGACAAGAATGTAAAAGGAGGAAGTAAATTAAAGATGGACTCATGTTTTAATAAACTGGGATTTGGGATTGGGGTGTGGAGTGCTGGTTATGCTTCCCAGGATGCCTGAGAGGTGGAAGCAGTGAGGAAAGGCACTTTTGGGGGAGCTACTGCCACTGCCCCAGGAAAAGAAGCTCCAGCTCGTGGGGCCACATCTGGTCCCCTACCTTGTTCCCCTCACACACTCCTAGACTCCACTCTGCACCCTGCAACCTGGCTAACTAGCATGTGCTCTGTAAGCACTTTGTATGGTGTCGCACCCCTGCTGATAGGAAGGTCACAATCCTAGGGGCATGCTGAGGAGTTGGCTTGGTGCCAGAACCAGAACTGGGCAGTAGAGTTCAGGGGATGGACAATGCTCACCAATGGTAAGGCTTCAACAAACTGATCCTAAGCCAACCTGTCTTTAACCTAATCTGACTTTTAACTAAAGTAGGACAATGTTAGCTTAGGTTTTGCTTTGTTGGGCTCATGTAGATCTCATTCTCAGCAAACAAACTAATAAAGTTCTGTTGTATACAAATGAGTTGATGGACCACCTTCATAGGCAATGTTTGGGGATCAAAAGTGGCAGATCCTACTGGGTGTGAGTAACAGAAGAGGACTTAGATGGACTCGTGGAAGGGGAAAGGATCTGACGACTCTGCTTAGATCCTTCTTCTCAGGTCAGAACTCTCCAGGATCTTGATTGCGACCTTCCTCCTTCACAAATACAATTTTATAACAGCCCAGCTCTTGGTTTGATCATTCTGGTTGATCACTGAAGATTTGGCCAGTCTTGCTCAACACTTTTTCACATTTTTTAGTGAAAAATATCAGTGAACTAATAATAAAATTCAGTAAACTAGAGCAGATCACTGGAACTAAAGGCTAGCACCATGTATCCATTTTAGTATAATTCATTTCTTAGCATCATGATAATATATATATATTTTTTTTAAAGCAGCTTTGCATTCCAAAAGCTGAAGAAAACAGAGGAAGATCAGCCTAGGAAAGGGGTGCTCAACCTTCGGCCCATGGACTACATCCAACATGGAACCACGGCATTCAGCTTGCAGATCTCTCTGAGTTGAGAAATTTGGCAGCAAAGGAAAAGTGACAATTTTCACCAGCTGCCAAATTCCCAAGCCCCCTGTGGTGGGTCAGGGATGGGCCACACCCCATACCACCTCCTCCCCACACAGTCAGACCAGGCCAGGCCACATCCTCTTTACCCTGTACAGCAGGTTGGAGTCAAGCCACGCTCCCCCAGGGCTGGATCAGGGCAGAGCCACACCTCCTTCCCCCCATGTGGGTAGATCATGGCCGGGACACCCCCTCGCCCCCTGCCTCATGGGGCTGAGTCAAGCCCCCTTTCCCCCACACAGGTGGACTGGGGCTGAGCTGCCCCTGTCCCACTGTGTGCAGCTGGATGGGGCTCTGCCACGCCTGCCCTGGGCACCAGATCGGGACCATTAGCTACATTTGGCTCATCGATGGACTGGGCACTACCTATCTTGTCCACCAAGCAAAAAGATTGAACACCACTAGACTAGGACATGAATCTTTGGTGCTAACTGAGACAGCAATGCCTTTTACTTCCTTGAACAAACCCCTGCCTCACTGTGGCTGCTTTATGTACCATCTGTAAAGTAGGGTAATATTTACCTGTATCCCAGGTGTGATACAATCACTCACTAGCTGGCTAAGTGTTATTAGAGTAAATTAGTTGAAAAGATTTCATGATTTCCCCACTGAATTCAAAATTCATCTAAAAACAAATCATTTACTGTACATTCTATGACTATTTAAAATATAAGAATAATATGAGCACTCTCTCACCACTTTAAAAGCCCTTGCAGGTGCAGGTAAAGAACTGGTTTCCTCCAAATATTTTTCCCAAGAAAAATGTTTAGCCTGCGGGTAATCTAACAGAAAAAATATAAAAGCAAAGTTTAATTATGTCAGGTAAATAATATAATACAATGTATATAACAGTACAATAATCTAGAGATTCTTAATGCAAATATTAACTTCTTTAAATTTAAATTCAAAGAAGAGGCACTTATTCTAGATACCTATGACATACGTGCTGAATAAACCAAAAACTGAAACAGTAACCCTTTAACAGTAGTCCATATGATATGGACTAACTAGCATCACCACAGGCTTGACTGGGGGAGGTAAGTAATATATACAGCAAGACCTATCAATTCCTGTGTATTAAAGTATTTCACTCTAATCTTAAAAGTTCACAATAGGGCTGTCCAAGTGCAAGTGGTGCCCTGCGGGCCACATGTAGCCCATGAGGGGTTAAACTGCCGCCCATGTGATTGCCCACCATGAAGTTCAGAGCCTTTGGTCACTGCTGGCAACTCAAAATTGATAGCAGGGGGAAAAGGGGAGGCAAGCAGCAGCAACGTTTACCTGCACTGATGCAGCAGCTCTGGCAGTTGTGTTGACAAGCCACTGCCAAAAGCAAGTCATCTGACCTGTGAGAAGTCCCATGGGCTGGATCAGGCACACAGGGCCAAATAAGTTGAACAGTCCTGCTCTATAGGTTTAAGCTTTTGCCAAATACTAGTCTGAACCTATGCCAGCCACATACCAGTTTATAGTACATATGACTACTTGCTAGCCCCAACTTCTAAGAATACTCCCCAGATTTACACTATGCCTACGTAAAAAGCCGTCATTCTAAAAAAACAGATTTTAAACTATCGTTTACAAATGCTTTATATAAAAAGTCGTGATTTTTCCTAAACTTGCATTGGATTTTGCTAATAAAAAGACTTAGGCACTACAAGTGAGGTAACACAGCTTTGTCCCTACCCCTAATGCAAGTCTACATGAAGGTACTCCCTGCCCCCTTCAGAATTAGAGTTCAGAGTCAGATTTCTCTTGAAAGTAAGTACTTACTATTGCTCCTTGAAAACAGTGAGCTCTGCTCAGTTTCTTTTAAAAGCATGACTAAAAAAGAGGAGGTGGTAAGTGTCCATTTTTTCAGTAAGAGCCTGGCGGTTATTGCACTAACCTGGGACCTGAGAGACCCAGATTTAATGCCCTTCTCCACCTGATATGATTCAGAACCATACCTCTCACCTTCCAGAATGTGTTATCCATCAGGTTATACACAGAGAAGAAAGGAATGGAAGATTCATAAGGTCAGGAAGAGGGAGATCCCAGAACTGTCTCTTTTATATCTAATGACTGTTTAATGTAAAACACATAAACTAAAATGTGACTTGGGACCAGAACTTGGGACTTGCCCTAACCCAGGTGAACGACCTAACCACTATACTCAGGTACCCTCTTATGCTCTCCTTAGCCCCATAAATCTTGTATGCCTTACTGCACAGTGGGATTGTTTCAACAAGACCAGTGGAGAGTTCACACCCCTATTCCAGACTTGCCTCTTAATTTAGTGGTTAGAGCACTTTCCTGGCATGTGGGTTTGAACTTCCTAAGGCTGAGAAGGGAACTGATTCTAAGGGCACCTTGACACATGCTCTGGGGGTGTGGGTGGCACTTTAATTAGAGCAGGTCTAATTAAAGCACTGCTGTGTTTCCTGTATCAGCGGTCACACACTTAAAAATGGCAGTAGAGGTGCTTGAACAAAAGCTCATTTGACAAGCTTTAGTTCAAGCCCCCCTGCCACCATTTTTAAGCACAGGATACGGATACACGAGACACAGGAGGCTGATGGAGCATGGCAATTGCAGACTCAAGTAACTGAGTCTTCTCTGATGGGCTGGAATTCCAGCATGTTGGGCAGCCTCCAAACTCATGTATTAGGCGCCTCACATTTCCCACTTCCTTGGCAAGTGCTGTAACAGGACTATTATATGAGGTGGGCAACACTACCATTTCTTCTCCCTATGTTTTTAAAAAAGGAAAAAAAAACCCAATAATAGTTATGACTGCATTTTCTGAGGGGCCAGTCTTGATGTGTGGTCGGTATGCTCAGAATGTGCAGACTGGAGCTCGGGACTCAGTTACAAGTCCCTCTCTGGACCTCTGTCGGGACTTTGTTACAACTCTGGAGGGTGTTTTGATTCCAACAAAACCAAGGCACAAGCTTGGTGCGTATTCTCCAAGCCAGGACAATTCTGGGAAGGCGCAGAAGGCAGAACTGCAGGCACCTCAGGAACTTTCAGACTGAACAAGGAGGCCCCTGAGGAACTTAGTCACCTCCAGAGTCAGTGACCTGACTGAGCAACTGATTAGGTGTTTTGGGGGAGTAGAACTAGGGGTGCACCAACAGAGATTTTTTGGGATGATACCAATGGCCGATTTTTAACGAATCACATCAGCTGATACTAATCTGATTGCCACTATGCAGCCCAGCAGGTTGGAGGGCGGCTGGCAGGTCTGTTGTGGGGAAAGGGGTGAGGGGGAGGGAAGGAGCGTGGTGCGGACAGATCAAGGCTCCCGTGGTGAGGGAGGGAGTGGGGCTGGGGCAGGCACTGCTCAGCTGGGGAAGGGCACAGGACTGTGCCATGAGCGGCTTGTCTGGGGTGGGGCATGGGGGGGGGGCAGCTCCCACCACTGCATGCACTCAGGAAGGCATGTGGGGGGGTGTCCCAGGATCTGCATGGGGTGAGGGCGGGCTGCCACTGCGGGCTGGGGTGGTGCCGGGCTCTTCCCGGCAGGGGCCTGGGCTGGGCTGTGCTCAGGGCAGGTGGTGGTGAGGGGGCTATAGCCACCCCAAAATTCGCCATAGCCCCATAGGCCCTCTCCCAGTGCCGCTACCATCTGTGCTAAGTGCAGCCCAGCCCAGCCCCCACACCGGGAACAGCACATTGCAGACCTGGCCCCAGCTTGCTGTGCCAGTCCACCCTCACCCTATGTGCAGATCCAGAGGCACACACCCTCCATACCCTCCCAGGTGCGTGTAGCAGCAGGAGCTGCCCTCCCCACCCTGGACAAGCTGCTCGTGGTTCTGTCCTGCACCCCACCCCAGCTGTGCGGCGCCTGCCCCAGCCCCACTCCCTCCCTCACTGTGGGGGCCTCAATCTGACCTCCCCTTTCCCTCACGACAGACTTACCAGCAAACCTGGCTGCCCTCCACACTGCCGGGCTGCGCTCCTGGCCGCCTGCACGCTGTGCTGCGGCTGTGCGCATGCACAGGGCATTTATTAGCCAGATTATTAGTCACATCAGCTAAAAAAAAAACTGATTTCCAATACTTTTAATTTTCCTTATATCGGTGCCAATCCGATATAAACCTATGTATTGGTGTACCTCTACTAAGAACCCTAATATCCACCTAAGCCCTTTTCTGGACCTAACTCTAAATGTGTAAAGTTCTGATTCATAATATAGCAGTGAATTACATCAGTATCTTATGTTTTGTATGTTCAAGTTGTTAAATAATAGGCTGTAATTAGTGTGCTGAAAGATTCCTGTTTACTATACACATCAAGATTGCTCTCAAAGTAGCTTATAATTTAATGGCCTTGAGATGTTTCAAAACTTCCCATGACTGCTATACACTCTGATTTTTCTTTCTCCTCCAGGGCTGTTGAAGTTATATCCTAGATTTAAATCCTTTAGCTTCAATACCAAAAGCCTACCTGCCTTTTATTTCTGTATTCTTAGTCTAACAGAAATTTTTTAAATTACAGAAAAGTTTTTGCAATGGTGTCACATTAATCACACACAAAGTGCTTCTAAACAAGGAGTTTATTTCCTCATTAATAATCCATGGAATAACAAAGTAAGGAATAAGGCAAAAGAGAGAAAATATGTATCTTCTGAGTAACAATATAAGTCTCTGCCACAAAAGGCACAGGATTTGATGGAGGTTTACGCAGACGTAATTGTTGGGACAGTATTTCTTGCTCATAAGCAAAAAAAAAAAAGTTTCTCTTAATTGAAAATCTTTATCCTAAGAAATTCATGAAAAAACATGCTGCACGATATCTCACACCTCAGTTTCTTCACTTAAAAAAAGACTGCTCTGATTCCCATGATCTGTCTAAGCTGTGAAAATACAGATCCTTCCAACTGCTGATTGCCTTCTAGCTGAGGGTTGGACTTTTTTCCCTTTATACAACATGAAAATAGTGGCCTCCCAGATTATCACATATGTCTGTTGGTGGAATCAAGCCCATATGCTACTTCTGTAGCTCCTTCCAGGTTCTACTCAGTTCAGCCCACTCCCTCAGTTAAGGCTTTCATTTTTCTGCACACAAAATGATTCCTGAGTGCTTTTCTTGGATGTTAACCAAAATGACTGGCCCTGTACAGCTCTTTAAATGTTTTCTTTCTCCTTTTTTGTTTCATAAGTGAAACTCATACCATGTAGCTAGGAATTTACTTTGAGAAACAATTTTTTTACTCAATCTCTTAGTTTGAAGGAAACAGGTCTTTGTGGGATATAAATGTCTCTTTTACATACACAGCTGGAAAATGGATTATATCCATTCAAGTCCTTCAGTGTTGTCAACAAAAAAATATTGCTGAAGTCTTTGTATGTAAACTTCAAATCCTCCACATTGGCATGGATGCTATCGATTTTCTCACATACAACTGTTTTCGTCTTTTTCCTTTTTAATTCCTAAACCTTATGCTTTTGCCATGGCAGTCACCTTGTTCTTTCAAAATAATCCCTTTAAAGGCATCCCAGGCTCTTTATCAGTTTTCTTCTAAATCCTTAGAACTCCAAGACATTGTTTATATACTATATTTTCTCACAGACAACACAAACCTTTTTCCCTAAAATCAGCCTTCCAAAACTGGAAGAAATGTATTAAGTGAGGAAACTTGGGACAGAAACATCCTCCTTTGATTCCTGCTTCCCAGTGTAGCAACTGTAGCATTACTATTCAGGCAGCCGAGGAAGTCAGTTTACTTAATGGCTCATTGCTCTTCAAGCCATAGGTTTTTGTTAAGGATTGTCTCTCTTTTCAAATAGTCTTGATGTTTCACTAATGAAGCTAAACTTTCTCTTGGTTATTTTGCTGTCTGCTGGCTGTTCCTAGTCTCTCCCCTCCTATGGCTGTGTACACATATTCAAATGAGCTGCAAGAATTCTTCCAGGTTTGTTCTCCTGGCAGAGAAACTTACCCAGAGCCATATGTGCAGACATTTTAATACTGAGTCTCTGAAGAGTGAAGAGCTTTCAGTGCTGACACTGTACAGCTGCGGGGGGTGGGGGGGGTGGCATCTCATTATGCTTTGCAGGCTTCCTTAGTCTGCCTGGCAACCGGTGGCAGCAGTGCATAGGGTAGCTCTCACTGGCTGACCCAGAGTGCCCATGTTCAGCCTGTGTTTCCCTGCAGTACAATGTGGGGATTGTAAAGGGGTGTGTTCTGCTCTCTACTAAAGCATCAGAGTCCAGTGAGAGAGAGAGAGAGACTGTCTCACTCGGAGGGAGGAAGGAACACTACACAACTATGTTCTTTTCTGAGACGAGCCATGGCGTATACGGACATTCACTTTTCCAGAAGAAACTCGCCTTCGAGTAACTAAACCCCAGTTGGTCCCAAGTTATTTTTCTCATGGAATGGCCATTTTTGACAAGGGAGAAAAGCCTGAACATCTGTACACTTGTGATTTTTCCTGGGAGAGCAGCGAGTCTTCACAAGAAACTGAATGTCTGTATGAGGCCCATTTCACAACCCTGGAAACTCTTTGGCCACATCCAGACAATCACATCAGTGCAGTATGCGGCACTGCAGACCCATCAGCAGTGGTACACACCACACATGCAGGCACTCCCTGCACTGCTACCATGCAGTACAGGGAGAGATTGGGGGATAGGGTTGTGGCTCAAAAAAACCCATGCTAAAAAAAAGTGGAGCAGTGCATGTGGCGGCAGTCTGCACTGCCCAAAACCAGAGCCTGGCCATATGGAGCCATGCTCCAGCTGCCAGTCAGGCTCCCAGCTGCAAGAGTGCCATGGCTACAGCTCCCCGAGGCCCCCAAGACCCCAGAGAAGGCTTCTGAAGCCAGCACAGTTGCCCCCCCCCACCCCACACAAGGTAACCTGCCACATGCCAGAGTATGCATGGCATGGGTATTGCCCGGGGACAAGTAGCAAGAACACAAGGTGTGCTGCTGCTACTTGTCTCCTGGGAAACAAATGCCTGTGCTCATCTGGACATGGCCCTTGGCTCTTTTCAAAATCTACGGAGACCAGTCTTCAGCAGCAAGTAGGATTCGATCTTTAATTAAGCGGGGGGGGACGACAAGTCAGCTCAAAATTAAGCTCTGAAACTGCTTTAAGTAGTCATAACTCTGGAAAACCCTTTTTCTTTTCATTCTGCCTTTCAAAAATAAACTGTGTATTATATTCTGGGGCATGCTCTATGCAGCAAAACATGGTAGCTACAATTCTACCATAATAACAATAAAAATAAACAAAGGAAACACACCTAAAGGGTTGCTTAGCTACAATATGCATAAATGCGCTTCACTCTCAGGTTTAGTCTCCATGCCAGCTCTAGGGACAGCTATATCAAATAACAATATTTTGTAAACTCTGATCCTGAAAGGAGCAATATCCAGTCACAACAGAGCTCCAAGTTATGCTATGAAAATTATATTGGCTAGCAACAGATGACATACACACTACTGTTAACACACTGATTTATCCCTGGTTGCATAGTAATTATTCTATGAATATCCATATTTACTCACATACTACAAGCAATTTTCCCCCAGAACTAACTTTCCAAAATAGGTGTGCATGTCTTAAGCAGGGAAACTGATTCTTTTTCTTCACAGGAATAGAAACAGGGAAAAAGAAGTGGCCTTGTGCCAAAATGGCTGCTATTTCTCCCTGGGGCAGCAGGCAGCAAAGACAGAGTCCCTCTCACAGCTCCTGAAAAGCAGGCTGAGGGTGAGCAAGCTACTGCATGCAGTCTGTAGTCTATTAATGAGACACTTTATTATTTATAGGAACTTATATACACAACTATTTACAGTAAAGAAATAATAATGGTATTACTGTCCTCGTAAGGGTCTGAGGCCCAGCCTTGCCATTGTCCTGCCACGCAAGAAAGTTCCTGCTGCCTCATCTATGCCATCTCCTGGAATGCCACACTTCCTGGATAAACCTATGTTTCCAAAAGGACTTACTCTATATTGGCCATGACTAGAAAATCTTTACTGCATTCTACAGAAACAAGACGTGTATCTTATTTGGGGAGTGTGGTATGAGAGAAAGTGTGATATATTTGGAAAATAAATAAGTTATACAGCCTGCTGCACTGAAGTTATACTGCACTGCTTTCACCACCAAGAACTTTTAGAATATTCTCTAGCTGACAGGGGACTCCAAAATACAGTACTGAAGTACGTGCGTCCTCTTTCTCTCTCTTTCTTTTCTGCATGCTCTCTTAGCTTCTCATTTTGATTTCCTTCTAAGAGCCCTTAAAAATGTTGTTCCCTTGCCAACCCAGGCCATCTATTCATTGATGCATTTATTTCCAAATCTGGTTCTTATGCAGACATTTTTCTTACCCAGCATTTCTGGACACCTGATAGTTATGCTGTCAACACTTGCTAAGTGCAAGACTCAGAAGCATATGAACAAATTCAGCCTATCACACAAAAAACAAAGCAAAACAAAAAAACCTAAAGAAACACACAGCACAGTAGAACTACAGAGGGGAAAAATACAGAGGAACACAGTTGCCTTGTCCCATTCCATTTCCCTTTTGAACTACCACCCTAGTCCCGCAGGATACTTTATATGGATGGTGGCCTCTTTAATATAGCATATATACTAGCCAAACAGGTAAGTCATTTGTGTACATTATCATTAATATTAATACATGAAGTACTCATGAGAAAAGCACTATAGCCCCCACCTAATATCAATCCTTAGCTACAGGACAAAAATTTCAGTAGAGTTATTATAAAGCTTGTCATGATTTTTAGCCAATGCTGAGGCTAGCTAAAATTTCTTCATTTCTTTCAGATCTGTAGTCTGTTACAAACCTGGAGGGGTGATTAGAGTTCTTTTATGTTCTTTACACCATCCAACAGGATGAATATGTGGACTGGCTGCCTCACACCTGGAAAGTAAAAATTGATGAAAATACATTCATTGTTATCTCACTTTTTAATATAAAAATACAAAATTATTTAAGAAATGGCAAAAAAGTTCCGAACTTTTCAACTCACAACATTAACTGTAAACATAACAAAAACATGGCAATATATTTAATCCAATCTGACTGCCATCTGAAAGGCCATAAAGTTTTTGCAACATACCAAGAAGAAAAGCAAAATATCAGTCAAAACACCTCCACTAAGAAGATCTTCCACCCACACATTCAAATCCAGCACTTCTAAGCCCACAACTTATATTTTAGCAACTTTTTACATGAAGGCAGAGAGGAAGTGCAAGCAATGCTTAAGGGCGCTGCTGCAATATGTTCTAACTGTCCTATAGAGCAATATTCACCCTAGTTTATGAGTGGTTCAAGTGAAGCTACACATAATACATTTCCATAACCCAAAAATGCATGTAAACACAATACAAATAAAAGAAACATAGATGCAACTACCATCCTGAGAGCAGATGAAAAACAGCACTTCTGGCATCAAACTATATATGGACCTCCAAACTAACCATGAATTTAGAAAACCTTCTAAACTGCTAACTGCCTTGACAAGTAGTAGAAAAACCTTCTGAATCATAAGAGGAGGCACCATCCTATAATACTCTCTACATGCTGCCTCAGCCACACTGAATCAAAAGCATCTTATATATCAGAGGAGACAACAGTTTATGTTAAATATGATGCTCCAGCCATTAACAGCACAAAAAAGCTGGATCATGCCTTACAAGGTAAGATAATCCCTGACTAAATCACTCCAATCAAGTGTCTATCTAACCTGCTTCTGAAACTTACCAGAAATGGAAATTCCATAAGTTCCCTCAAAGTCAGAAAGTTTGTCTTAATCTCCACCTAAATCTCCTCACCTGAAGTGTGAGTCCATTACTCCTAGCCCTGACCCTGTGGCCATAGGAGGATAGTTTATCTCCATCCTTTTTCTAATCACACTTCAGCTATTTGAAGACTTATCAAATCCCCCCTTAGCAGGAAGATTTGATGATGATGATGGGGAGGAGGAAGAGGAGGAGAGGAAAGAGAGTCAGAGGCTTTAAAAAGGCAGCACTCAAGTCTTTGATCCAACAGCACAAAGCAGAAAATGTTTACCATAACTCAAGGACAGATGTAGACTAGCTAGACTAGCTAAAATGTCACTTCTTTACAGGCAGCCAACCTTTAAAAAAACTTCAAGTTGTCATTTTCACTCAGGGTGCAATGAAATAAGAGAACATAAGGAAGGCCATTTCATACCTGAAAACTTGCCAAACATCTCTCCCAATTATATAATTAATCCAATATAAGATACTATCAAATGTATTCTGCTTCTTTCAAATTTCCTGGGCTATCATGGCTGCGATATCAATATGACACTATTACAATATACATACGATATACAATATATGCACTGCATATAGAGATACATCTACACCAATCTGAATACAAGATCAGGGTCTATACGATTATATCTATTCGTTTTCCTCAAGCTTCATTTGGCCAGCAAGTCTGCAAAGTGCCAGTATATTATGCATTCATATACCACTTTATTCATTAAAAATAATGGGCACATCTATGCTAAGTATCTCACAGAGCCAGTCCTGTGACTGCGGAGCTAACACTGGGAGATAAGAATCTCCTAGCCCAGGCCCTGCAATCACGGAGCGGGAGCTGGGAGCAGAGCCTGCCCCAGCAGCAGGGAGCTCCTGGGGGCATGGAGCCCGCACTTAGGATACAGCTGTCTCCTAGCCCCATACTCCCCGCCAGCCCCTGGGCTAACAGAGGGGGAACTAGAACTCCCCCTAGCTGCTGCAGGGGCCTGGTGCAGGGGGCAGGCGCAGTCTGTTGCTAGGAGCAGCAAATCTGGTCCCACATCCCTGCACATGTAGATGTGTGCCTGGGAGAATTTACTCTAGAGTAAACTGCTCCTGGATTATTTGCAGGTGTTGACACACCAGTGGTAAATAAAAAAAAAAAGGTTTGATCTTATTTAATATTCAACTTGGCTACTACCTATAGAATGCTATCAGGAGGATATTGGCACGAAAGAGAAGCATTAGTTGAAGGTATACAAGTTACCTTAACATCTAAACATGTCGAAGGTCTCATCACACAACCTAATTATGCAGTCTCTCCACACACAAAAGACTGCAGGATTGAACCCCTGGCTGTATCTCTAGAAAAGCACTGACTTTGAGCTTCTTCCATAAAGAAAAAAGCAAAGAAACATTTCATATTCAGAATTGCAAGAAGAGATACTCAAGCAAAGTGATTTTTAAAAGAAGCATTGCAGGAAAATAGCTGAAGTCCAATGTAGGTGTACTTAATAGCGTACATTAAATAACAGAAACACAAGCAGGATTTCTCATTACCGTTGTCACACAGCAAGCACTAGTCCAGTCTGGTACTTAAAAAAGACGCTAATGCTGAAAAATATTAGCACAATTATTTTGTGGATTTTTTAAATAAAATAAAAATGAACAGTAATGTCAATATTGCTTTATGTTACCTTCAAATACATCAAGTCCTAGGGAACAAATAATCTCTAGAAACAAAGGCTTGGTAACAACAGCCAAGAATGCTACTGATAGCAAAACTATGATATCAATTTAAGCTTATTATTTATATAGCATCATACTGTACACTTTATAATGCACTGGAAATTACCCTTGTTTTTCAAATGAAAAAAACCAGGATGCTTTTGTGACATTCTGGGCATTGTGAAACACTCAAATGTTCACACTGTGCTCCTTTATGTTGTCTATTATTCCTGGGTCAGAAAACCTCTGACTGAAGCAGATTAAAAAAAAGTGAATTCTGACTCTTCCCAACACAGTCCCTTTTCATTCCTTTCCCTATGCAGTCATTAGGAAGAAGAGAGAACTGAGGAGAAGAGGAATCAACAGGTGTATACCTCTCTCTCAAACTCATCAATGGGTTAAAACGGAAGTTGTTGCAAAGCCTCAATCATCCCCTCACAGGATTCAATACACTGTTGCTTTCTAAAATGCTTTAGAGTGGGATTAGATGGGATCTCAGGGGTCATCTTATCCACCGTCCTCCATGACTTGTTGCATATGAAAGTCTATGTCCCATCTTCAAAAGGATCCTAGGACATTTCTAGATAGAAAGCTCCCTGTGCCTGACAAAGGCACCCTCAGAATTCTCTGGGATGCTTTGCCTTGGCAACTTCCCAACTGGAAGCAGAGTTACTATGCTTATATGGTGCATGGGGTAAATTAATTGACACTGTTAGTCTGCAGTGCTAATTAGGCCACCATTGTGCCACACATGCACAACTCTGCTACTCTGGTCCGAGAGGTAACACATGCAGAGCAGCGTGGGGTGTCTGAGGCTGCTGCTGTCAGAAATGGTAAGTTTGCTGCCAAGGTCACTTTTGAAGATAGGACCCAGCCTCCTAAGTCATTACACCACCATGTCATGCAGGTGGGCAAGGGGACTACGAAAAAAATCAACAACTCTGCTCAAAGGGTAAATCTACATCTCTGCCCTGACACTCCCACAGAGCACTTCCCCCAAAAGCACACCATGCCAACTCCTCCAGCTCTGCTCCAGCTGCATCAATCCCAAAAACAAAGTGGGGAAGCCATCCTGAGGATGCACCTCAATGTCACCCTCATGATATCATCTCCAGCCTGCTTAAGAGGGGCACCTGGGAGAACACCAATAAGGCAGCTCACAGCCTTATTTCCAGGATGGGCATGTGCAGAGCAGGAGCAGGTGGGCCCTGGAATTCCCTGGAAATGCCATGGAAGCAGTACAGTCCCAGCTCCAATGCAGGCATATAATAATATATGCTCTAAAAAAATTCCCAAACAAAACAACTCAACTGCTCATGGTCCCCCAGCTCCCTTAGGGAGGATTAGAAAGCAAACATGGGACAGATGTTCGGCAGACTGCTCAGTGCACTACCAGAAGACACTACAGTGATGAGGGAGGTAAAATAGTCCCCATGGAACAGAACTGAACATAATGTTTTGACTGATGAAATGAAAACACCCAGGACATTTCCAGTAGCCTCAAGGAAGTTCCTGAGACCACAATACATCATGTGAAAAATTGTCCCTTAATGCACTGCACCTATGAAACCAAAATATAAGGTCAAATTTTACAGCACCTATCACCACAGATTCAGAGCATCCTATAATCATTTTACAAGTCAGAAATACAGACAAATGCAAAGGATAGCCAAGTGAAATTACTGAGCTTTATTTTTTGCAGAATAGACTATGCTCTTTCATATCTCTTGGACAGGAAAAGCTGTTGACTAGCAGACTAATTGCAAGATTTGGAGTTAAGAATATTACATTCTATTCCTGGCTTTGTCATTGATTTACTTCATCTCTCAGGTCAATCACTTAATGTCTTTGGACCTTATTTGCATCAACTTTAGAATACTGTACTTCATACAAATACAAAAAAAAGTATTACTAATTTGTAACTGGAGTTAGAGCTTGCTGCTTCTGCAAACCTACTCTCCTTTGAAAAGCAACTTGGCAAGCACGGGGATCTGTGCAAAGTGCTGCAGTGATGGTATAGGCACACCTGACTAATAGATGCTAGGCCACCTATACACAAGCAGTGAGGCTGCTCCAAAGAGGTGTAATTACAGTGTGTCGGATTGGAGCAGACTCGATTAAACTCTAACTAAAGTGCCCCCACCCCCACCCCACCCCCCATCCCAGAGCATGTATATAAAATGCCACTAGTGTTCAGAGCAAAATTATCAAAATCACACAAGTCACACCCTTACAAGCCTATGCTTTTCTTAGTAGCTGCATGCAGTGTTCATAACCAAAAAGACATCTGGCTATCCACTCTAGTAAGCAGGGATGGCCAACCTGCAGCACACATGCCACAAGTGACAGGTGCAGCCTGTGTGTGCGGCACATGGCAGATCAGGGCAGGGCCAGGCAGCACAGCAGCAGATACAGGAGGAA